GGCCAGTCCTCTGGCCTTCATCAGCTTTACTGAATGTACAAGTTGGCTGTTACAAGTTCTATACTGTACAATATGAACAATACAATAGAGGTGTAGACGGATTATAGGCCAATTATCTAATAGTTTATCCGGTAATATATAAAGAGAAATCCGACAGAGAACAAAGCGGTCAAGTATAGAGATAGTGGTGTTATAGATTAAACAATTCTTAATTATGTACGCTTAACATAACATTTATATTAATATACTGTATAATATTTATAGTAGAAATACATACCACCTGAGATTTTGTCTACACGAAATTATTATGCGAAATATCAAGATAGGAGTTTCGGAAATGGGAAAATATAAATAGACCTATTACAATACAAATGATATACATGTCGCGGCAATTTCATAAACTATTTATTATAAATGGTAACTCATGTAAGGTTCATTAGCTTAGACATATATTGCTTCTTTTAAGTTTCGTTTACATTTTAGATTTGATTATTAATTTTGTATCTCAACGACCAAAAAAAATCAGTGCTTTAAGGAGAGGAGTAATGTTAATAGTAAGACAATGATAAACTTTATTAGAGGTGTCTCTCTCCAATTAAGACCACATTGGCCTGGGGTTTCAATGGCTTTTAGCAGCTTTGGTCTTTTAATTATAACTATTTATGTTGTGTTATTGGCCCTTGATGGCATTTGCTGCAATAAAGAAATTGAAATCAAGAAATGTTACATAGTGTTAGAACATTATAATCCAATGGTTTTGGAATGGACGAACAGTTATGTTTTCATTCTTACTAAAACATTTTTTATTTATTTATTTATTTATTCATTTATTTTTGTAGCAAGCCATATACTCGTTTTACCAAATTCTCCATTAAACTAATAAACGTCATCTAATCGATATTCAATAAGGAGCAATGTATACACAAAACATATACAGGCCTAATTGGTATTATATCGAAGGATTATATTACAGCATTTATTAGAAAAAAAAACTGCATTAATATCCCTCAAGCGAGTCTTTAATTTTAGAAAAATAAAATCCATTACAATATCTACCCACAATTTGTCTTCAATATATAGTGCTGTTATGGGTAGCTCGAAATTCACCCGATTCTACTAATAGATCTGATAAGTATAAGTTTCGGTGACATCACCATTCATGACGCCGTCACCAAACCTGATTAGCGGATTCTGATCAGAAGATTAATGACTGGTGCTGTCACCAGTATAGAAGTGTATCAGCATTTTGTTTGTCACCGAAACTGATCAATTAGGCAGAATCGGCTGCTCGAAATACATTACAGGCTTTTCGTTGTACTGCTTTTATTGGTGTTTGGCACAGGATAATTCCTAAATATAATAAACATTTTAAATCCCATTAAAAAATAAGTATCCCGTCAATAATATGAAAACGATCAATGACCTAATAACAATATCAATCAATTAAAGTTGAAAGCAATTTCCGTGATACAGTTATTTAATGAAATAATTAAAAAATGTACCAAATCTCAAGTTATCGTACTTGGCCGCTTGTTATTTACGGTACTAACTTCTTGAAAGAAAAGATTGACATACCGATGTTTATATTTATTGAATGACTATATTGATTTAACTATAATTCGTCATACAGAGCCTGCACACCACCACAATATACGCTATTTTCTAACAAGTGTGAATAATGGATGCGATATTTTATATTTATATATTTTACATATTTATATTAAATATATATAACACTTACAGTAGAAATGCATACTACCTGAGATCCTGTCTACACGAATTTATTCTGCAAAATATCAATATCAGAGTTTCCAAGAAATGGAAAAATATAAATAGGCCTAGACCGATTACATTTATTTACATTACGGCAATTTCATAAACTATTTATTATAAATGGCAACTCATGTAAGGTACATTAGCTTAGAAATATATTAGTTATTTAACTTTCGTTTACATTTAGCTTTGATTATCAATTTTGTATCTCAACCAGACATACTTTCTCATAAAATTGTTCTTTCTATTGTTGCATTTTGCATTAATCTATATATTTTTAGAATCGTATGCTGTATATAGGCCTATATATACAGGATACTGTACGTATAGTATTTCGTATTTTATTATTCCATATTAAGGAAATTCATGGGCGTACTAGCCGCTAGCAACCCGCTATCCACAGTGTCACCATGGCAACTAATTTTTCAAGTTAATTTAATTAAAGATATATCGTCGTCTGTGATCCACATTACCAAAGAAACCGTATTATATGTCTAATCCTTCTTCCATCTTCCAGTGACGGATTGGCCAAACTTTCTATCGTCCACAAACCGATGCGTCTCGGACACGGTGGTTTTTTTTTTTTCTTCTTTTAAATATTGATGGGTATATTGATAATTGAGATCATTAACACCGAATAAAAAAAGTGCGATTATATCGGAAGCCTGGCTACCATAGAATCGCTACTAGTTGCTTGTCTTTTCTTTTTCTTATGGAAAGCAGACTTGAAACTGTTATGTTATAACTGGCATGAGAAATAGTATTATCATCATATGATTAGCCGTTGTTCAATATTTGATTCTAGTATGAATTTCTGAATCTGAATTAAAAACCATTAGCAAGAAAATGTGACCAAGTGAATGAAGATGAATGTCGAGAAAAATGAGTACACAGAACGAAAGTAATAAGAATACTACTTTTCAATTATTAAAAGACGTTTCTTTTAATATAAATATGATATTCTAAAACATAATGATTAAATATATACATGAAAAAAAGGGAAAAATATTGACAAGAAATGATAAAATATAAAATTGTTGCTAAGAAACAGGGTGGTAAGCACAATACTGTACTACCAATGAGCATAAAACTGCAAGAGGTCCGGTTCTCGGCGTATGGTTGGAACGCAATCCTAGTTAAAAAATACTATCACGAACTAGAGGGCGTCCTTCAAAAGAACGGTTCGTAAATAGGGCGCCCCTATCTCCTGGTAGTACTTTTTTTAAATCTTTCATTGCGTCCATACAAAATCGAGGCAGTCGGACATCTTGTAATTCTATACTCTTTGGTACTACTATGTCATAACATACTAGCACACAACAAGAGCTAAATGAATTCTTAACTTATTAAAACTCAAGTTCAACGTCATTTCTATTGTTATTTGCCACAAAGCTGCAAGCAGTATAATATTGATGCTGAAACCTATTGTTAGTGTATGTACCTTCTATGCATTGTAGTAATGTCACAATCTCATGGTTACATCATCAATTCAAGAATTTTGGCAGGTAATCTCCTTTAATATCTGTCAGATCTTTTGAGCAGTTAATTAGAATAAAAATAAAGCAGGGATTCTGCAAAAGCATATATTTCAGGGTTTGGCAGTAATATACTAAAAAGGAAATCAATATTTTGGCAGTTAATAGTGGTACAATGTTACTTGTTGCCCTTGAAAATAAGTTTAAACATTGGCAGGAAAAAACACCCACATCCAACATTGTTTGATCTAACAATATCTGCCAGTAAATGCCTTGGTTTAAAAATATCTTGAAAGATAAAACAACTTGTACACGTGCCCAAACCTGTAGTCGCAGATTATACCCTACTCCATTACTTTTTTTTTTATCAAACATTGTAAATCTGACAGACATTATCTGACATTTTCTGTCAGATGTTTTGTCAGACATCTTCAGTATAATTGTATAACCCGCATATTTGCAGATTGGTATTATGCTGATTTTAGTGGTTTAATATAGTATATAAAAAATTATTTGGCAACAGAAAGGATTGAAAAACTAATATATCGCTTCAAAACAAACTTTAGGAAGTGCTGTTAATACTTACATCTACAAGTTCATTAATCAAAATCAATGTCAAAAGGTCAAACAAGCTGATGTGATTGGATAGGTCTCCAGAAACAAATCTACATATTACATCTCAATAACGTTTAAATACTTAACATACGAAAATTGTATACCATGATAGAATTTAAAAGTAGTTTCTAAAAATATATATACAGTACTTAAGACTTAACAATCAGTTGTAAATTAAAACAATGTCTCGACCAATCATTTATAAATATTTGTATCAAGTTATAAATAGTGATTTCATCTAATCAAATTTCATATCTTATATAAATTATTATTGAGAGAATACCACTTACCATCATGAAAATTTCACTACTCAAGCATGCAAAAAAAAAAATAAATAAAAATAAAAAAAAAAAATAAAAAACTTGTTTCTTATCATCATTCATTTTTTGTTGGTTGCCAAAACACATTGTACTACAGTAGATATGCCTACTTCAGGCCTACATCCTACACAAGTGCACGGCACTCACTATTAACTGTATGAGGTTTGGCAAAATTCCCTGATTTAAAAAAAAAAAAAAAAAGCAGGAGCAGGGGATTAGAAACATGTCATTTTTTATTTTGTTTAAATCTTGTTCTGCAAACATTATCAACTTTTATGTGACAATTAACTGTCAATTACCATATATGGGCATGATACGACATCCCCACATATTGACAAAGCACAGTATTTGTCATTTGTCGAATGACAGTCTGGGCAAACTTAAGCCTATTTGAAAGCTATAGTTCTATAAATTCAAGCTTCCTAATTTAAATACAGTACCACAAATGCAAATATTATTATAAAATATTTTATTTAATTTATTTAGTTGTCTGGGGAGGGGAAGAGAAAGACTCATTCATTAAAATAAGACATAGCTTTTCAGGATTCCAACAAAAAATCAAGAACAATGAAGCACTGTACACACAAACACACACACACACACACAGGACTTTTTTCAGGAAAGTTAACCAAGATGCTGGTTAGTCTGACCATAAATTAGTCCAGTGTAATAATAATATTTAATAAGTTAAAGTTATATAGCGAATATTGCGCAGTGCCTCTATGTAAATAGCAGAGGAAACATACCTCTCCGGAAAACTTACCAGGTCGAGTGGTTAGCTTAACCAAGTTGATTGTGCTCAGTAAAACTGACCAATTTAGTTTTTACCGAACCTAAAATATCTCTGATATTCGAGTATTACTCAATGGATGATTTCATGAGTAAGCGCCAGTTTTGCCATATTTTTGGCAGTAAAACAACCAACTCAAAATACCCAAGATTTAATTATTGGAATGTTTTTCGGTAAAATATTCCGGTTTTTTTTTTTTTGCGATTGCGCAAGGAAAGGACATCTGATTGGAAGGCTACCATCTTTACCAACCTTCTTTTAAGAAATAATAATAGTAATAATAATAGTGTAGTTTTATATAGCGCACAAATCCATCTAATGTAAAATGCTCAGGGCGCTTAAAATGTGGACTAGGAACTCGATCACTGATGGTTAAAATGATAATACATTAGTAAGATTAGATTGTACCAACATTCTGGGCTCAATAATATCATAAACGGTGGCCTTTCTACTCGCTATGCTCTATTTGGTGTTGAAATACAACTCATGTACATATGCATATTTTACAATCAATAAAATTACAGTAATAAAAATTTGTTAAATCAAAATCATATCTACATAAGTTATTTCTATATTTTTTCTCAACGATTGTACACAGACATCACTCTCAAATTGAATATAACATTATATATAAAATGAATAAATAAATATATAAATAAATAAATAAACTAATAAATAAATATCAGTATTCCCCATCTAGGAATGATCATTTAAAACAATTTCAAATAATTAAAAATAACCTAACAAATTTCTAATTACAATATTTTTAGGAACAGAATCATTTGATTAAAGAATTAATGAAATTTGACAACATCAACTAATTATTGGGCTGTGGAAAACCAGCAAACAATATTCCTGTAAACCCAAAAAAATAAATTCAAACAGGATATATGTTAGATAAACAACAGCCATTTTATAATCACTCGCAATAAATTTCCAGTTAAGTTGACAAAGCAAAAAAAAAAACTCTTCTTTAACAAAATTTATGACCTCATGGCCTAGTATACAGTATTAATATAAATATAGCAATAGGCTTATTAGAATGGTTCATTTCGTTGAGTATCTTTTCATTTGACTGGTTCGTAAAATAGACTTCGTTGACAGCGAAAATTAACGCAAACTAGAGTGCATTAATCAGCATTAATTTATCCATGTGACCAAAACAAACATGGCCGATTGGTCAGTTTAGTAACAACATTTGCGTTAATATAATTTAGATTGGCGCAACAGATGTGTCCAAGACTCTCATCCTGGGGGGTTGGGAGATTGAAACCCTCGCCGGGCTTGTGCCCACCCAGGAATATAAAGTGGGTATCTAGGGGCAATGTGCTGACTTTACTTTATGCAGAAAATTATGGAACATGTCCCAAAGGTGCTGAGAATGTGTTCAATAGGCATCTTTCCCAAGTTGGAAAAAGCAAATTCCAGGAGACCTTGTTAAATCAGCTTTTTGAACCATTTAATTTAATTCAATTTTTTTTTTAAATGACATTTATCGAGGGTGACCCTTCCAGTGTATATTAGAAGGTTGGCTGATATTAAGGCGCCCTCTCAAAATAAATGAAATAATGTTTTGTGTGGTGATACCCATTGGCACTATCTTCCAGTAGAGAATCGATCACACAGTAGAATAAACATGCAAATTAATCGTGAATATGCGGAAGAAACAGGATATTTTCCGGGAGATCTATGTTTACTCACAGGAGTGCGCGAGGCGCCTTGCTCTATTCGTCACATTTTATATTAGTCTGCCTATGTCCGGATTAAGCTACAGGAAATGTTTTTCATGAATTCACTATATCTGTCCTGATTGGACGATAAATAAAATATAACTATAGTAAATCAAGCACAAAAGAGATACACTTTGTAGTACAGTAAATATGTTAGATCCCTGATTCTTAAAGTGTGGGTTGCAACCCAAAAATAGGGTTGCCTTAAAGTTCTTCGGAAACATGTAACCTGAGATTCCAACATTCTTTTTAATATCCCACCAAAAAATCAGTATCGAGTGATTAAGTATGGCAGAGCTGCTGGTGTATTATCTAAACTCAACTAGACAACAAACTTAACAAACCTAGCAAATAAATAAATGTACTTGTCCTTCAGTGGAAGATGTTTTCTAAACACCACAGAAAAGCCTAATAAAATCTGACATAGAAATAATATGTAAATACGAACTGTAATTACTTTTAAACATTGCAATACATCTTGAAATGTCAGAAACGCATAGATCTTAAACAAAAGAGTGTGCGAAGGGGCAAGGTCTACTTTGACAACACAAATCACAAAGGCACGTTGTTTAATATATAGTATCCTCTAGGATAAACATGAAAGGAAATGGTGCATCCGTTAGTGCACAACATATTGAGAAGAATGTTCGATTCGTACTTTTCATAAACAAAGGATGATGCAAGTTGTTTATTAAAGTCTACTGCTTTGAATGATTAATAAAGCAATATACACTTATTGTGATAACCTAAGTTATCTACATCTCTGTTGTTCACTACTGATGCAAAAACCATTTGTTAATTATATACTGCACTCTACTCATCAGTCAAGTGCATTCAAACAACAAACAAACAAAAAAAATCTGAACAGACATTTCCTTTTTGTCGTCCATACATAGGGTACGTTAGTAGCAAGAGGTTATACATACAGTAAAATATATTAATACCTGATGGAAGAATTGCTGTTGTGTTTTTAGTTTGGTGAAACAGAACTGATAATCTCTCACCTCTCCCCCTCCCCCACAGTTCTTAGACCCAGGAATCCCATAAATTTTCTTTTCCCAGCCTACAGAAAATTCTTGCAGCACTTCCAAATATGTACTTCCTTCGACCATACGGGATTTACCATAAAAAAGATTTCTTAAGCTTTTTTTTAGACTATCAAATTTTGTTTGACAAAAACATGCATTATATTCAATGGGCATACATCAGTTTCTTGTCAAAGAAAAACCGATAGCCAAGAAAGCTTCAAATGACTAGTCTTCAAAATGTTAGCACCCCCTATTTTTCTGGAAATTGAGGGCAAAGTCTCCCGTCTCAACCCTTGGACTTGCATTGCTCACCAAAGCAAAGACCGACCAAATCGAGGCTCTGTTTATTGGCCTTAGATTGCCTCTACAGGTCAGCAAAAAGAGGTTTCTTATAAAATTTGATTTAAATAAATAAATAAATTCTACTACATAAATCACAAAGTTGTGAGGGGTGAATTTTAATTTACTTTGAAAAATAACAATATTATTATTAACCACTATATTCAACATTAATAATTTATATTATTAGTCACTGTTCAATAATTAGGTAATATTTCTATAATTATTACAGATAAATTTGTAGAAAGTAGAAAAAAAAAATCAGTCTTATATCAGTCTATATTGCTCATAAATAATTCATGAGCAAAACATGTCAATCAAATATTAAATGTAAATTTTTAAAAAAATAATTAAAAAAGAGGTAAGAAAAGTGTAAATTATTGATTAGAATTTGATGAAATAAAATTTTTATTTCTTAATGTGAGTGACATATTATTTTTCAAATATTTCATACATTATTCAACTAAAGCTTTGGTGTTTCTTTTTTTTTTTAAATAACTCATTCACGATTCCTCTTTCGATCAAATTATTTGTACTAAAATGCAACACATTAAAATTTCATGCACTCTATAGTTAAATTAACTTGAAGATGAATGCTGCCCTCTACAGTTTTCATTCTCAAAGTGTCAGACAATAATTTATAAATGAGGCCTTTTCCAGACTATCAAATTTCATTTCACAAAAACATGTATTATGCCTAAATATGGTCATAATAACATCACACCATGACCATATATAGGCACATCATGACTATATATAGGCATACAATAGATTTTTGTCAAAGGATATTTGATAGTGTGGGTAGAGCCTCGTAGAAGCATTTCAGTTAATTATGTTGTATACAGAGAATTTTCACAAGAACATGGAATGCTACGTGACGCTAAAAATTAAATGCTGAACTTTAACCTTCATCTTTTGTCTCCATTTTCTCCTCACTATTAGAGGACGTGCCTTCATCTCCGGTCTTCTGTCCGTCCTCCGCTTCGCTGTCCATATTACTCTCCTCTTTATCAGCTGCAAGCTCGGGATAGTACTGGCTCAGACGGATGTGCCACGCCACGCTGATACAAGCCGACACGGTTTTGAACTGGTGGACAATATTTCGTGGAATGAAGTAGATGTCGTTGTCCCGTAAACGTATTTTTGCGTAACGAATTCCCTCCCGTCTCATTTGATTCAGCTTAGCATCCTCTATCCATTGAACACACTGCCGAGACAAGTTATTATTTTCAACGATAATAATAAGCACATTAAATATTTAAGCACGGACACAAGCTGATCGTTTCAAATAACATTGCATGTGTTGTACAAAAAAATTGGTATAAAATTAAAAAAAACTAACAAAAAAATACATCAAATACATAAGGACTCATATTAATACTGCACAAAAAATAAATTAAAAATAAAATTGCTTAAATTAAATAATAACAATACCGACTGAGCATATGCTATGTGCCATGCTTTGAAATTTGCAGAAAAGGCAGGCCTAAACTCTATAGCACCCAGACATATTTTGTACGAGTTGCTTTACTTGGCTTTACTGTATTCAACAACAAAAATAATTAACTGTTGGAATTGCCATGAAGTAACTATGCAATCGACGATTTGCTTAGTATAAGAAGGTTGGTATTGCGATGTATTTACAATGTACAGCTCTTAAACACAGATGTATATCACTACGCTACAGTGCAAGGGTTTAGCCAGAAAAACGAAATAGGCCATCCAAAATGGAAGCCAGTAGGCGTGGCACTGAGCCGATGGGCAGGCCACGCCTATCTTCGGGAATCCCCATTGAATATTGGTACGAAAACAACGTACACTAATCAATAAATGTTGCTTTTATCAAACGTTAATATGATTAAGTTTTAGTTAAATGTAACATTCGATAGAATTGAAGATTATAAAGAATTTGCTAAAGGTAGACCAGGCCCAATTAGGCTAGGCCGAGCTGTTTAGGCCAAGCCGTCTCGGTAAAAGTGGCCGTCCTACAGTAAATAACTGTAGGATGGCTCGCTGGCTAAGCCTATGCTACAGTGGTACTCGAGTATCCATCAGTAAAATAAATAAAGTTGAAGAGGAAGAGATTTGAAGTTCAAAAGGTTTTCATAAGAAATATATGTTTGAGCAAAAAAACTTCCATGCTAAAAAAAACCCTTTTATTTATAAACAGAATCCTTTTCCTAGAGAACATGTTAGTACTTCTCTACAGTACTTTATGGTGACAGATACAAAATTTACACTCTAGAAAATTGTACTAAAATATAAGGAACACCATTTACAATACATCAATAATCTTACAGAGAACCTTGTACACAACTATCAGTGTGGACCTTATTCATTTATAGATCAACATCTTTCAATTTAATTAAAATTATTAAACATCACATGTTTACAAATTAGTAAATTTAACAAAGGGATGTCATTTATTTACATCTATGGAGTAACTGCTGCGGTTTTAGGTTGAGTTGCTGGCTACTGTACACGATATTCCAAAGTACAGTAGATATGTTTACGTCACAGTCATCAGAGCAAAAAACAGAACTGTACTGCGAAACACTCACATGCGGTTTAGCTCAAAAACAGAGAAATATTTTTTAACAATGTCGCCGATTTTTATTTATACATACTTTCGCTACACCCTATTTATTGAAAAATGTTTTAATATAAAACAATTATAAATGATTTTCAGATTTTCTTAAACGTATTACATTATTAGGTTTCTACAAATATAGCACCTGTAGACAAGAAATTTTTTAGGAAACCATTGATCACTATGGAAAATCAATCAACAGTTAGTCACAAAGGGATGTGTTCATTTTTTAGGATCACTTATACAGGTATACCACAATCACTTATATACCACATTTACAGTATACCACGAGGTCGCCCGCTTAAGTCATGGCAGGATACTGTGAGGCAGGACCTTCGCAGGTTAAACCTCAACCCAGAAATTACCGCAGATCATACCACCTAGTCTCCCAAGATACAGCCAACTTACAGCTAACTGCACAACCTCCCAACAGTCTAACCCTTGTATGCAGGGTAAAAAAAACTTTAAAAGATGATGATGATGATGATATGATGATGATGATTTTGCTCAACCACTGCCCACAGAAAATTATGTCAAAATAATATAAAATTTTCTTTTTGGCCTGTGAGCACACACACACACACATGGTGATGTGTGTGCTCACACACACATGGTGATGTGTGTGTGAGCACACACATCACCATGAAAAAAAAAAGGAAATTTTCAAGAAAATTTTCTCATACTACTACAAACATAAAATTCCCCAGTAAACATGCTATCATGCCGAATCCTTTGACGACGCCGATTGGTCAGTTGAATCAGGAAGCGTTCCCAAATGCGTTGGGGACAGCTACGCAGTAGTGTAGTGACTGTGTAGCGATTGTATGGGAACCAAGCTTACAAAAAGTTTTTTATCCCCACTATTAAATATAAAGCATATAATATTAATCCGATTATATTCTTTATTATAATAATCTATCAATATTATATATGCTTTATTATATTGTTCCGACTATTAAAGTATTCACATCACAAAATCGCATTCTTTATGACCGCACGATAGTATCTTGAGGGGGGACCTACGAAGGGTGCTCTCCGTTCATTTATCTCACGAACTTGGTTTTTTTTATATTTGTCAATATCATTATATTATATATCCCCACTGTCTAAATCATTTAGACAGATACTTATCCCTCTGCGGATACCATAGCTGGAGTTTCGTACGTATCATATGCTAAAAATGTAAATATTGGAATTATAATACGTACAGTATTTTGCCACCGTTGTAATCTTTATATATATTTTGTGTCACTATACATGGACATGAGATGCATACAGGGGCCGGTAACCAGGCCCCCAGCAATGTTGGCACCGATAGATGGCGCCCTTTTCTGCTTCGATTTGTTTATGAATGCTTACCTGTGAGACTGGTGGTTCATGAAGGTCCAGCTGAAGAGACTCGGTAACATTCAAGAAATCAGCAGCGTGGAAACACACAACATCTTTCATATCAAGACTGTTAGTCATTGCATCGTCTTGCGCACAGACTGCCTGCAGAACTCCCACAGCCGCTGTCGTGTGCCTGTCAAAGCCCTGTCCGACATGGTCAGCGTGGCAACGTGTTCGATCTTCAACAAGTACTTCGCGGGGTTCTGAAGCTCGTGGACGATACATCAGATTCTTCAATTCATTCACACCAGTTCTATAATGATATCAAAGCAGAGATTTTTTCAAATTTTTTAAGTTCTTTTATTAAAAATAGTGTAAATTGTTTTTTATTTTACATTTATTTCCCAGACCAAATATTCTTATTTAAAAAAAAAAAAATGAAAAAACCTGAACAAAATAACTGTAAAATAGATTGTAAACTTGTTTGACAGGTTGTAATGACAGGCACATATGAAAATAAATTAGTAAATTAGTCTGATTTCTCTTCTTTTTGTCACAGAAAATTTAAATTAAGGTACCTTCATTATACAAGAAGTACATGGAAAAATTAAATCCAGTTTGTTGTCTTACCTCCTCTTTGATTTCGATGGTGATTTAGGCAGATCAGCTGTCGGTATCATTTGCTCTCCTGGACGAACCCATATGATTGGTCCATCATTACTATGGCAACGCTTTTCCATCTTCAATGATGAAAGTGGACCCCAAGGCATGACACGATTTAGAAAAGTGTTCTTCTCTAACATGTCCAAAATGTCTTCAAAATAATCGCCGGTTTCTTCGTTCACTGTTCCAACCAAACTCATCTGCAGCATCGGGCCAGTGCGGTACGTACCATTACAGTACGTTCTGTGTACATCATTTCGAAACTCTGTGACAGTTTTCGTACATAAATCATGTTTCCCCAAAAGTTCAGTTTTGACGATGGTCGATGGATGACGGAATGCAAGATAATCTATGAGATTTGGCGTATGGCTAACGGCATTGTGAACGATGCCCATTACATGGTCTGCAACGCCCTCTGAAGATTCACCATAAACAATATCAAAATACTTTTCTACAAAACTGTCCAATTCTTTTCCTTGTAAGTGTTGTATTTCCTTCGCATATACGTGTACAACGCTGGCGCCACCATTTGGCTGCTTCTCGATGTGAATATACTTACTGAAGGGTGAACACGATTCCTCTTTGCCAGCGCCATGGGTCAGTATCGTTCGATCCATGTCAGCATCAATCACATTATTATTACATCCATTTACTTCGGTCTTGACTGGTGATTCAACCGACATGCAAACCAGACTTTTTGGTGATGGTGGTATACCAGTTTTGACGGCATCCTGCGAAGTGCATGTTGTGGCGTCTACCATTACCGGTCGGTGTTTGTGGTGGTGGTGATGATGCTTGTGTTTTTTCGGCCGCCTAGTCATCGTCAGACACTCCTTCTTAATATGTATCTTCAGTTCGGGCGAGCCATCTTTTTTGACAATTCTTGAAGATGCATAATGAACCAAAGGCCATGAATCACCTAAAAAATTCAAATATATCTTTCAATATAGAAAAAAAAATCACTAGCAAATATAAGTTTGAACTTTAAGAATTAAAAATAGGTCTATTTATACTATTATTCTAAAATTTATTTGGGGTAGCTACAGTAATTATCAATGAGTTGCCCCTAACCAAAATATTATGCAATGGTCAAATAAATAAATGAAATAAAAAATTGGAAATATTCATAGATTATAAAAATTTTGACTAAAATGAAATAAACCTAGAAAAAGTGTACAGTTCATCCAAACTATAAAATGTATCTTTATAGAAATCAATCAATGGATTTATAAGGCCAAAAATGCATCTTCTAGGATGAAATATCAAATTTGCTAATGTGTCCCTCACCTTTTTTATTTTGATACTTAAATAACCATTTACTTTTTTTTAAAGTTACATGTAGTTTACTTTTAACTTGTACAATGACCAATGGTAACATTTTTTCTTTTTTTGTTAATTTTTCAGTCTGCTTAATATTTTACTCTGTTTATATTCTTCACTTTGTTGAGAAAACTGGACCATTTTGAAAAGCAGTAATGTGCTACTGAAAATGCTATCCAGTCGAAAGAATGAAAAAAGAAAAAAAAGAAAAGAAGTTCACATTGAATTTTAGGGCAGCTGCAAATATTATTCCTTTTCTGCAAACAAAAACTGTCTGCAAAAAACATTTTTTTAATTATGAATTTATATTTTTATGAAGTATGATATTCCAAAGGAAGATTAAGAATATTATATCATATTACTTCTAAAATTAATAAATTCAGCATGGAAAATCTATCCCAAGTTTACATTTATTCAAAAAAAAATTTAATTCTAAAACCGTTGAGATCGAAACATGGCCGCTGTCACATGGCTTACAGTAGCAAATAAAAAAAGAGAGAGGTTAGGTTACAGGGCAAAGGTTTAGGGTTATAGTTCAACACCCTATGTTAATTAAAACTATTAAATTATAGAGGGCATCCTAAAAACAGGATGGTGAATTATAATAATAATAAAATTATTTTTATATAGCGCAGAATGCTATAAACCTCTATGCGCTTTACATTAGAAGCAAAAGCCAGAACAGAATTAAAAGAAAAGACGATTAAAACAGTGATTTGAGCGAAAATCTTTTGCAATCAAAACAAAAAACAGGTTAATTTTATTATTAATTTTTCATTTATTTTTTTCTTATTTTATTTTTATATTAATGTTCAATTATTTAATTGTCAACCAAGTTTTTTTTATCTCAATTACCTCCTCATTCCACTTTCTTTATTAATTTTATTTTAGATTTATTTATTAGAAGTAGCCATTTTCCGCTACTTTTTTAAGATATGCGATGACCAACGGGTCTAAAATCTAATTTTGTACACTTTAATTATAGAAAAAGGATAGTTTATTGTGAAATAGTTTAAAATTATTAATATTATTAAACAATTATATTATCATCAGGTGAATACATTTGTATTTCTAACCAAGATATGAAAATAGCACTCACTGTTGAAAACTAACGGTCGAAAACTTCTGAGGGGGTGTTGAATACTAGCCTAACGATTGGCGAAAGGATGATTGCATTTACAGGCAGCCTGAATGCAATTTAATTTTATGAATTTGTAGTTGGAAGATATGAGTAACACATACGCACCTTTTAAAATTAGATTTCAGTACTATTGTCCTAAAGTAAAAAAATACCTTGTTTACATTTTGTTGTTTGAAAATTCTTATCCTATAAGTCTAGGCTACAGTAGATTATTATCATCAACTTTATTGTATTGGCTTATTTGTTTAAAAATATATTAATTACATACAATTATTAATAATCATTAGCCTGCACAATTTAAAGCTAGGTCTAGCTAGACCTTGTGTTTGTCTGTATTTACCATTCTGAGTCTGGGATTGAGTTTGGCCTTGTTGTTGATTGAATAAACGTGGTGGGCTTTGACTTTGTACAGGCATCACCAAAGCTTGATTTTGAATTTGAGTTGGTTCTTCACTTCGATTTGCTGGTGACTGCCTTCTAACCTTAGCAGTGGATGGAGGGGGAGATATGTCAGATTCACTTGTACTTGAGTAGCGTTGTTTGTAATCACTATACACGTTTTCCGTGTAGCCTGAGCTTGATAGACGTCGATAGTTATGGTGCGCTCGCCGTCTCTTCCCCGTCTCGACCGCCACTGGCACTAGACCTACAACAGATTTTTTAGGAGAAATCGGAGAGCTAGACCTAGGCCTAGCTTCATTTACGACGAGAATATTTGCTAATTGTTGGGTATCTCCATTAGTTTCCAACCGACTATTCGTGGTAGGAAGTTGAGTTTGAAATTTATCACAAGTTGAAGTTGATAAGTCATTTTCAGGAGTCATAACTCGCTTTGCATCATGTTTTACTTCTTGCTCAGCAGCAGACGCCATCATTGTTTGTAACTGTTTACCCGGATGTCGCACCAGACTTTCATTGCTATTAGAAACTCTAAAATGTTTACATTGGAACATGAATATTAATTTAAGAAGGTTTTTCTATCAATCCTACATGTAACTCTGTTAACGTTATCACTATACATTTAAAGATGGACCACCATCTTTAATAATTGCATCTTCATTATCTATATTTATCACAGTTGCCTTAAACGGCTGTGACATAGAAACTAGTAAAAATTGTATTTATGTTGAGGGCGCTACACAAATTGTAAATAAAAAATGTAAACACTATAAATAGCAGATACACTGGTTTTACCATGGAGGTGAAAAGTAGACACCGGGAAACGGCAGGAGGAAGATAATTGTGTAAACATGGCGTCATCGTCTTCTACTAAAATGAACCCCTCATGGATGGAGAATTTACCACCTGATTTATGTTGCCAACCACTGAAAAACATAGCAATTCCTGGTAAGCTTACCACAACTATTATTAGAGTCAGGCAGGCCCAGTACTACTACTATAGGCTAGGCCTAGTACTGCTGGCTAAATAGTACTGAGGACTGAGGTGTAGTGGGTAGGCTAAGCAAAGCTAGCCCTACGTAAAACCGCAGATGGTAAGACTAAAAGTTACTCTAGGCTATCTAGCTGCACTGCAGGAAGTTGCTAGTACAGTACAACAAGTAAACAATTATAGTCAGTTTTTGAGTACATTATTATAGGAAATAGAAGCTGAAGGAGCCATCATTTCCTGAAAAGTCGAACAATATCACAACATTAATTAAACCTCAATCTAGTTTGAGAGCATTCTCTTGCGTTTAATCTTTTAATGTTGGAATGACCTTCAACAATCTATTCAGTCTGCAGAGATCCCTTTCACTGTTTAAATTCCGTCTTAAAGCACATTCCTGTCAAAATTTCAGTTGGCGATGTAAAAAGTTTGGTATAGCAGATTAATATATAGTGTTTTTTTTTTTTTTAATTAATTGCGGGATAAATTAAAATATCTTATCGTGAAAATTTATTGGTAGGTGAGATAAAAAAAAAATAAATAAAAAGAAGAATGCAACGGGTTCGAGAAAAATTGCCCTGCCTACCTCCGACGCTCGACTGCAAAAAGTATATGTACACAAAAGCGAGAGCATTCCTGTGGATGCAGTCTACAACCTCTGAATTTGCTAGTAAAACGAAGAACTAGTCGTCAAGAAAATGGTATCTCCTATGAGAAATAGTCTTTATTTCTCTTCTTTTTTTTTTATCCTTTTGCGTAAAACTAAAGATTTATACCAATATTTTTCTATGATTTATAATAATTAAAATAATGTATGCATTTTTTCTAATATTTCATTTTCATATTTTGTTAGTGAAATTTTACTGGGAGTGGGGCTTTAAAACACATTTATTTAACATCCACCACTTAAAATAATTCTCTTTCTTCTTGATTTCGCATCTGAATTGGGACAGCGACATGAGCGCATTTTGCAGACATGGCAGTATATTAATTGACAGCATTATTATTATTCACCTTTTATTTAGATATCACATTTGAACAGTGAGACTCAACATTTGTTATACATCCATCAATTATTAGAACAATAACAAAAAGTTAAAGCTGACCTAATAAAGATTACACTATTATTATTATTATTATTATTATTATTATTATTATTATTATTATTATTATTATTATTATTATTATTATTATTATTAATATTATTATTATTATTATTATTATTATTATTATTATCAGATTTGTCATCAGCGATATTTGGTTGTCTGTTTAATCGGACCTAAACCAATGCAACACATTTCCCGCCACACTGGAAACCATATCCTTGTTTTTGGCTTTCCTTTCTCCGAGCCAGAAACAATGTCACTGTCTTAGTTTCTAGCCAAGCCCCACCCATATGCTCAGAGTGTGAATACTAGCTTTTGTATAGCCTTTTCACATGTAGTTATTGTAATAGTTTTCCACCAACCAGTGGCAAGTCTCACTTCCCAAAACATATAAGTATTTCACAGTTCTTGAAGCAACTCAAAACATCGAGATATTCTCAACCAACAACAATCAGTTCTTTTCAGAACTATCTATGAGGTGTACCACAAGTATTAAAGAGGTATTGACCCTTGCTAATGTAAAAAAATCATAAAAAATAGTTTTAAGAATAAACTTACTCATATTGCAATAGCATACAAATTATTAACTTGTGCATAAATATTATTGAATTTAAAAAATGTGTGCCCTGATTTTTAAACCCAAAAATTATATAATAAAAATAATAAAACACTTCCGGTGACTGGAAGTGTTTATAATTTTTCGCTGGTAAACTGATGGGTAGACATTTTTTAAATACACTAATTTTTGTGTTCAAGTTGATAAACTTTTATATTACTTCAAAATGGGCAAGTAAATTTCAACAAATATTTTAATGATTTTTTTGGTATTTAGCATGGGACAATGCATCTTTAATATATATTATTATTACTATTGTTGAAAGGTTTCCATGACGAAGTAATAACATAATGCTTGAGGTACACGACCTAGATAGTTCTGAAAGGAACTATTGTTTGTTGAGAATGCCTCAACGTTTCCATAGAGTTGCTTTAGTTGTCTGCAGTGAGAAGTCCAGAAAGGGAAATACTTAACTTGCTGAAGATTGGTGGAAATTAAACTATAACTGAGACTATACTTAAAAAGCTTTCCTTTTCACTTACTGTAGACATTGATAATTTGTTTTTATCTTACATTATTATTATTATTTTTTTTATTATGTGATTTTTATTATTTCATTTTATTTTATTTCACAAAATGCAATAATACACATAAAATTCTTCTGAAAAGTAAATGAATAACAAGGACAATGTAATATAATTATGTAAGTATTAATAGCAAATTGATAATAATTAAAAAAAAATTACAATAAATAGCAATAGATGAAGATAATGTTACTATTAAATAATAATCATAATAATAATGATAATAATAATAATAAAAATAATAATAATAAATAATAATAATAATGATAATAATAATTATAGTAATAATAATAATATTAAATAATAATAGTAAGGTTGCGTGAGGACGACACAATAAGCCATTAAGGTTTTAAGTCTGTGCCTCCAATTAATTAAAGCTAAGTAACATTGAGAGAGAAAGAATGTATAAATTAAATTCATCAATAATGTAAAATGAATTACAAGGTAAACGTAATATTATTTAAGTAATAATAAAATATATTAATAATAGTAATTGTATTCGTATTTATAACATAAGTAGTCGTAAAACAAAAATAAAGATGCTAATAATAATAATAAAAATAGTAACAATAGGTCAATAATATAATTTAAAAAATACTAACAGCATCGGAACAAACAACAATCAGTGAAAAAAAAATATAATAATAATAATAATTTAATTCTGCAACTTTGAAAGACTACCTTACTATACAGCTACACGGTTTCGCGGCCATCCAAAAATGTTTCGCGGCCCAAATTTGGGCCGTGAACCATAGTTTGAGGAATGTCGTGTTAGTAGACAGTGAATATTAAATACCTACAAAAAATAATTTCAAATTCCGGACGTAAAACTTATAACTAGTAATTTTATTTGACCTAAACCATTTTTAAAGGTGTACAGTATATGGTATAAAATTCGGAAATTTGCACGAAAATATTGTACTATTAGTAAAATTGCTATTTAAAACAGAATTTATTATAATTCATACTACTGTATTACCTTCTTCAAAAAACAATATTCTCTCTATAAATCATTAATTTGGTTAATATACAAGGCAAACATTTTCATAAATTAGATTATCATTTAATAAATTGATGTAATTATTAACAGTTCAAGGTTGAATAGCAAGCATACAGGACAGGGCTGGAAAAATGTGTGTGAACACGCGACCAGAGGTCGGAGGCATCACGAAAAAGATTCAAAAAATAAACTGTAGGCTATATAGTTTACAGATAACATTTAGAGCTGGACATTTTTCATTGTCAGCGGCACAACAAGTTTTTTCCAGGCCTGAACGACATCACAGCTTTGTCAAAACCTGTTTACGTTTACTTAGGTACGTGCTGCAAAGGACGTAACGGTCCGTAAGCCTCTACTCATCTTGAAAGATGTACTGGGTTCTTTAAAGTTCACATGAGCCAATTGTCTACTCTGGTCCTACGGTTTATATAGTCCCCCAAACCCCAAACGAGCGTGCCATTCGGACAAGCGCAAATAGCTGTACAGTAGGTTGCAGTGCCCCCGCCTTAACTACTCAGTCAATCGACTCGCTGCGGGCGGAACTTGTCGAAAAAGGACTCATTTGCATAACAATAACGTCTCTAAATGGTTTATCAGGCTTGAAGTGCCTGGTACTACTGTAGTACTGTACAAGTTTTTGGTTGGTTTGGTTCGGATTTTTACACAAAGTTTTAACATACTGTACTGTACTGTATATTTTTTAAAGCAGTAGCTATAGTTACGCAAGAAACATTCTTAATCCATACTTTAAAAAAACATCTAATCAGAAATAGGATTTTGTAAAGACTGGTGTAACAATAGCCACTGCCAAAATTTAAATCTTTTAACAGAAGAAATATATTTAATATGTGTTCTTCATTTAATATGTCATGTTTTTTTTTTTTGTTTTTTTTTTTTAGGTACACATAACACTTTTACATACTCGTTGAAGGCAGATTCTCCTGTTTCGCCAGGTACGCCTGACACCATCCGGAATCTAGTTACTGTATTTGGAAAACCCGCCAGTAAAGTGATTTTAAAGTGGTCTATTACACAATCTCTGACGATCAAAGAACAGTTAGAGTATGGCATTCGGTACTTTGATTTGCGTGTCGCAACTTGCAAGAAACATCCCGGTTTATATTTTATACATGGATTGTATGGATGCTCAGTGGAGAGTGGACTCGCAGAGATTGCGGAGTGGCTGGACGCTCACCCGAAAGAGGTTGTATTTTTGGACTTTAACCATCTGTATGATATGCAGCCCCAGGACCATCAAAAACTTTTTGAGATTCTAAAAGAAACATTTGGTAATAAGCTCTGTCCAATTATTGATACGGAAGAAACGGCTTTGAATGTTTTGTGGGAAAACGGCTGGAATGTGTTAGTCTTCTACCACAATAGCTACCGACAACGAGAAGATATTAATACGTTATGGCCCGGTAGCCATATCCCCGCACCGTGGCCGAACACCCCCGAACCTACCAAGATGGTGAACCTGTTGGAGGCGAATCACACACGCGGTCGGAATGTCAAAACGTTTCATGTGACCCAAGGAATCTTAACGCCATCTGGTACAACAATTTTACAGCACATTGCCCGGCCTCTTAAAGCAGTGTTTGCCGTTCCCGCTATGAAGAATCTCAAGTTTTATCTCAAGGATAAGAAGGCGGGCGCGACAGGAGTCAATATTGTGACGGCAGATTTTGTTGAAACGGACAATTTTGTGGAGTGTGTTTTGGCTTTGAATTCGGCTAAATAAATTTATATTTTTCTTCTCACATAAATGCTGCTATTCGCACAAACATAATCAAGCAATCATTTTATAATGAAACTAGTAATAATTAGTGTTTTTGTGATTTCTTTTTTCTTGATTTATATATATATATATATATATATATATATATATACACACATATTTTATATATATACAATATATATATATATATATATATATACACACATATTTTATATATATACAATATATATATATAGATATATATATATATACACATATTTTATATATATATACACACACATTTTATTGCACTACATACACATACACATATATATATATATAGATAGATATATATATATATGTATATATATATATATACACATTATTTACACACATATATATTTAGAAAAATTATAATAATACGGTATTTTGTACAAATATTTAATATATATGTATATATAGATTTGAAATTTACTAGTCAGTGCAGACATCACATTCATTGCGTTTTTCATTTTTTCATCTGCAATTTGAAACCAAGTTTTATCCCGTCTTCTTAGCAAGTGTACTTCCATTTAAATTTAACATTCACACAGAAAAAGTATGAACACTGCATGTAGAAATTAAGAAGTGAATTTAGTTAAGGTTCGGGGGAATTAATATTTTCAAATTTTTATAACTTTTTTGATTGTTTCTGCTCCTTTTTACTTTTATACAATATAGATATATTTATTTCATGTATTTTGCCCAAAATCAGCGGAGAAACAGCAATTAATTATTTGTTCATCATGTCTCTGGTTTTAGGTCTGTTGTAATTTATATTGTTCGTAATATTGTTTCACAAAAAAAAAAATAAAAAATAAATAAATAAATAAATTACTTCATTGATGTTGCAATACTAATGCACAGTCACACAGCCAGAGTTCTCATGACCTTTGTATATATATTATTAGTAAACAGATGGGAGTTGTGAAAGGCAAGCCAATAATTTAATTTTAATTCTATTCTTTAAGACAATTACCATTGGTAACAATTATTCGTGTTTGACCGTCAGTTAATTCCAAATTATACAACATATTATATATTTTGAATTTTTTCTATTCAGCAAGAGAAACAAGATGAATATTGATATTAATATTAAATTACTGAATAAATTGTTGGGATTAAAAGATTCTGCAACAGCTGAACTGTTTACGACAGACTTAAAAGAATCAGTGCTAATGAAAGATTTGCCATGTTACTTTTGGCCAGGCGAGACCTAATTGTTCCTAAGCCTTGTTATAAACTTTTTAAACATTCTTTTGTTATAAAGGACCTAAATATAGGGCTTCTCAATTTAAAAAGCACCTCCCATTTTCTGTGGTCCCAAATTAACAAATGTCTATATATTATGTATATTTGTTGTTCTAATTAGAAACCAAACCTGCTACAGACCATGGAAACCACAGTCCCAAAAGTGGTCTTAGATTGGAGGAAGACCTGTATTTAAATCTTTTTTTATGATGTAAGAAACACTTATTCACTTTTCAAAACTAATATCCAAATGTTATTTGCTCAATTTTTATAACACCTTTTATTGACACTTTCTATATACTTATGTTTCAAGTTTAATTTTACTTTTCTTATTATTCTGAAAGCGTATTTCTATTTTTCAATTTAGATGTTTACTTGCTTTGATGTATTCTTGTTATGTTGAAATGAAATATTGTTGAGTGAAATCATTATAAATTCTAAAAACAAAATCATATGGCACAACTCTCATCTATTTGGTGAAAGTTTTAACAGTTTTATCGTACCATTTATGTTGTTTATTAATGCATAATAAATTGTCATTTTTGCAATTATCTGTTTTGTGTTGTATGCAGTCCACCTCCTTTTATTGAATAAAAGTTTCCATAAAATAATAAGCAGTGTGATTCTGTGTAATTTGGTGTAGTACTGTTCATCATGATTTGAATTCAAAGACCAATAAAAATATATACAGGTGGTTCACACACACACACAAAAAAAATATAATATTAGGCTGCACCTTTTTATACCTTGTTTCGCAACATATTTTTTTAAAGATCGTCAGAGAAGAGCGGAATAAAAATGAAATTTTGTTTCTCTTAATATTTAGCAAATGATTTTGCCGAAAACATCCAGAGGAAGAAGAAAATAAAAATAAAATGTTATTGTTTGTTCGATGTGAACAATAGAATAGTTAAATGCTGTAACTTTATATATTATAATTAAAAAGAAATATACATAGGCCTATCTTATTTTTGGAGATTTCAAGGCAGTGGCAAGCGTAGTGAAAATAAAGAAAAACTTATTTTTTTTTTATTATTATTTTTTTCTGTAATTTCCAATTTTCCGTGCCGGCGGGTGCGCTAATTGGCGAAAAATTAATTTTTTAATTTTTATTCAAAACTATACCATTATTGGCGGGCGGCAGGTTCGCTAAACAAGGTATAAAAAAGTCTTGCATTATCCGTCGTATACATAAAAACGGACATCAAAGTCTTGTAAAACTTCCAAGATCCCACCCCCGCAAAAAAAAAAAAAAAAAAAAAATTGGAAAATGTCTACATTTTAAGTCAATCGACAATGTACTAAATATAAAATTTGTTCTGTAAATAAAGATTAAATGGGAATCTTAAATCTTCACATTTTCTTCATAGCAATCTATCTTTAGGCCAGCGCCAGCATTTCGGAATTGAAGTTGCATGGGAAATGGAAAATGGACACTGAGAATTTATAGAATTCAATTTTACAAACTCGAGCACTACATATTGTAGAAATTATGAGTTGGTTCGTGGGGAGCTCCAGTTTGTCCATCTACATGGTGGTTGTTTATGCCATTTGAAAATTTATAACGGTGAACAGATGTAATCAAAGTAAAGGTTAAAATTTAAATAGATAACACTGGTTAAAATTCCCTCTATTTTATAATTACGGTAATTTAAATGTCAGTTAATGGTAATTTATAAATGTCAGTTAAATAGATTAAAAACAAAACTACAACCAGGCCCGTAGCCAGGGGGGGGGGGGTTATGGTTCGGGCGAACCCCCCTTTTCTAGCGAACCCCCTCGAATTTTTGAATGAGTCCCACTCGGAAAGAATGTCTGTTTTTAACTTACCCTAGCATTCAATCAAAATTTAGCACCTAATTCATTATTAATTGGTCATCCGTTTTTTTAAATTGTATCTTGCGATACAAGCCTACATTCATAGCATATCTCAGCTTCAGAAGTTCGGAGAATTAAATTGAACTCCGGCAAACCATGACTTTACGATAGCTCCCATAAGGATGGCAAACATCGATGAAAACTTTCACTGGCCTTTGGCTGAATGTTTGTAAGAAATGTACCAACCAGTAACAAAACCGGTCTCCGTCTACCTAGAGTAAAATTAATGGCGCCAACAAACGAAGATAAAGTTTTGCGACTTAATCCACCAAATTCAGCTGAAGTTTTGCGACTTAATGATTGTGGATTGTGTGGTTAGTAAATTACATAGCCATACTCTCCATAGCTCACACTAAACTATTTGCTGATGGAGCATTTTTGGGAAATTGACTCTCCTTTTTTCCATCCCAAACAAATATTATTAACAAATCAACATGGTCCATCTCAGCCATCATAGCGAGTCACAAAATGAGGAAGTTTGTTTTCAACAGCAGACACACACAACAGAACGGAGTGCGTCAAAATCTAAAAAAATACGTACTGGCATATTGTAATACACATTCCCTTGTTGTACAGTATGACAT